CTCGATGCCAGAGTATTCTCCCTCGGTGTTCTCACGGATCAGGACAGTGTCGACGTCGTCGTAGGGCGTCTTGTAGCCGGCGATGGATCTGCAGGGGCGGACGTTGGCGAAGAGGTTGAAGGTACGGCGGAGAGTGAGGTTGAGCGAGACGTGGCCCTTGCCGATGGGCGTCGCGAGGGGGCCCTTGAGGGCGACCAAGTTCTTCTTGACGCTGGCGATGGACTCGTCGGGGATGACCGTCTTGCCGTCCTCGTTCAGGCGCGGGGTCACGTCGACCGACTCCCACTTGATTGGGACGTTGGCGGCCGAGTAGATGTCCTTGACCGACTGCGCAATCTCGGGGCCGATGCCATCACCCTCGATTAGAGTGACGGAGTACTTGCCGTCGCTGCCCTTCTGTCCGTGGAACTTGGCGACCTCGGAGGCGTATGTCCGGGCGGACATCTACATATGTTAGTAGAGTTCCAGGCTATTTTTTCTCTTCCTCTGCGGATATCCTCGCCAGGCGCAAGAATCGAGTGTCCCGCGGGAAGCTCACCTGGGACAGCGCGGGCGCCCATCGTGCGCGGGTAGCCTGGCGCATGCATTGCCGCGCAGGGGCGGCGAAGGAGCGAGCAGCCAACATGTTGAGGGTATGGGAATGTTGTCACGACCCAATTGGAGCTACACGGTGGTGGTAGCAGGTCGTCGAGGTGGGTGGTCGCGGCGGGAGGGTTGCGCAAAGCTCGGATACAGAAAAAGAAAGCTCCACCGGCCGCGGGATGTCTTCGTGCGCCAAACCGGTCCATTCCGCCTCCGTCATGGCATCCCACCCGCAACCGCCCTGCATTCTCATGCACCCTCGGTTAACGCTAAAGTATGGACTGGTGATACATCTGGAAGCCTCACGACTGATATTCACTTGGAAAACGCGACATTACACTGCACCTTAATACCAACTTCACTCGGCGCAACGGAATGTCTCGAACCGAGTGCTTGTCACATGTCACGACAAAGCGACCCAATACATCACACATCGCGACATCCTACTTCACACTCATCATTCTTGTATACTCTCCACGACCTCACGTCTCTGGTAGGACTCGAGTTTACCATGGCGCGTTTTGGATCGCATTCTCACCCATCAGCTGGCGTCTTCCTCGTATGTTTCGTGTACAAGACCCACCGAAAGAAAGACACGGCCATCACGAGCCGTTACCTATGGCACTTCTTCATCTTTGGTAGGATGCTCCTGCATATCGTAGCTCAGACTGAGACTGCGTGTAACGCAGTCGCATCATTTGGCACCTGAGACCCTCTTGGACCACAAGCCACTTTGAACGCCAATCCAGTCCATCGCTCTATGATGCAGCCTCTACCCATCGCGGCTAGCGTTAGCATCCTCTCAGAGAATGCGCGCATGAACTCACATTCAGCTCACTTCGCTATATCGGTGTTTTATGTTGTGTCAACGCCATCCCCGGTCATATCCGTAGCAGCCTCCACACAGAACTACGGATTGCTGTACAGAAAGGCTACGACCGGGCGTACTCCTGAGGTATAAAGCTCAGAACATTCTGCCCCAGTGATCACACTCACCGCACTATCCAGATACCCCTATATATTCACTCTCCATCTCTTTTGCAATCATGCGGGTCCAAGATTTGGTTTTCATTGCCGTATTCTTATGGCCTATTGTTATCGGATCGGCTCACTTAGACCGAAGAACGACGCAGCTCTTTGACGTGAGTATTTTGTCATTACCCAATGATTGGTGGTCAAGAACTGACAACGACTTCCTTCAACCCAGTTTGAGGACATTGAAATCCCCCCTACAGGTGTCGTTACTCCCATTACTATCTACAAAGGCGTTCAGTTCACCTCCATCTCCGCAGGAGCGCTGGGCGTCGCAAACATCACTTTCCTGGGTATCAGGCCAAGATCTCCACCGCAAGTCGCCTCAACAGCGTTCCGCAGCACCCTGCCCGACCTTAAACCCGCATCTGTGACGGTTGACTACCCAGATTCACCTTTCAAGTCGATCGAACTAGTCTCCCTCTACCTCCATTACGTAACCACACTAGGCACCGGTCTCTTCTCAGCGCTGGTCCAATGTAAGATCAACTTCGAGTGTTTCGGCTCAGATGGCAAGCTCAAAGCCGAAAAGGAGGTCGAGTATGAACCGGACACGCCGCTCCTCATCCCTGTTGAGGAGCAGAAGAAAGTCAAATTTGAATCCAAATTTGTGGGTTGCAAGGATATCAAGTTCGCATTGGTGAGCAGTCAGCTTCCTCTAGGAAGTGTTTTAACGGCGATCGCGACGGATAGTTGGACTGTGGTTTTGCATCCACGCGATGCTCAGTCTTGATCACCTGTAGCAGAGTTGAATTTTCTATTGACCTTTCATCCGGGGATGTCTCTATAAGAAGAAGCACCATCTGCCACACAGAGCTACCTTGCATTCAACAGACGGTGCTTACGCACCAGAATCACACTCGCTGGTACCAGAAGACTATCAAATTGACTTTCATACGATTGACTTTCCTGACTCTACTTCTCATCTCCATATGTTCATCTTATCTAGCCCTCCTCAGCGGCAGTGCGGCGCGCTCCGGCTGCCGAACCCTCTCATGCATTTCATATTCACTTGCTAAGCCTTTTTGCTCATCTTTCTCCTCGCGTTTTCTACGAGCTAAACGAGCGACCCCAGATGATAACGCACACAGCCAGAGCATCATTATGACCATGATTGCAGCGGAAACGACACCGAAGATGAAGAAGCCGAGCCAGATACGGTATTCGGCGCTTGAAGTGTTGGGTGGATGTAGAGGCCTGGGATAGACGGAGGTCATGTTGTTTTGTAGTGGCGAAGCATCGCTGATGTTAGTAGCCGCGAGGGCGAGGCCGCTGGAGTAAGGGACAGTGTAAGGAGACGCCATGTCTGAAGCCGATCTGCGCTGAGGTATGATAAGGTTGCTACTATGTCCGTGTGCTCTCTTAGCAGTGTGCTGATACTTGGAGTAGGAGAGGAAAAGACTCTAGACTCTACTTCGTCGGGCATTGTGCGCCAGGTTTGCTGGACCTTCACGATCTCATCGATCCGAAAGCCTACAATGTGTTGGAGTATACCTTTTAGAATGTCGCCGTTGATGTGACTAGCGCTCAGCGTCATCGAACCCGACATTGTGAGCTCACAGGCCTAATGTCCAGTGGCAGTCACCATATGGTGTGGAATCTGTACGGACACCGCGATTGAGCTACTGTATACAATTGATCTTCCGCAATCTTCCCAGGTCCTCGTTCATCCCAACTACGACCAGACGTAACAAGACGAAATCACCAACATTACTTGTTCAACATCCAACATGGCACAAAACAATACTATGGCGGCTTTTACTTGGCCTAATGCCGCGCAAGGAACTTCTTTCTCAGGTACGATGACTTCGTCTTCTGTTACCACTTCGACTGCAGTCGATCCTGGTGTATTCTACTCATCGGATGTTGCTGCAACGACGTCTACTGCTTCAGACGGAGGAGCGTTCTTTTCTTCAGACGTCTCAACGACTGCTGTTGCCTCCGCTACAAGCACTTCAACAGCAGTAAATCCTGGTACCTTTTACTCGTCGGCTGTCCCTACGTCTACTTCCACTGCATCCGATGGAGGCACATTCTTCTCTTCGGACGTTCCCGTTTCTAGCATCGGCTGCCACCATTGCACAGCTTGTACGAAGACGACCTCAACCGCCAGTGCTCACGCAAGTGCGTCTCCTTTCCTAAGGGCAGTCTCGAACAATCCTTGGAATCCAAACGTAGCACCGCCAATTGATGCGTCACCATCGTACGTCGATTACGGCACCGTGTCCACCCTGATGCCTCAAGCTACCGGAGTCGCTTTCGATCGCGGCACACCTTTCGAAATGACTGATCCCATACTGCCAATAACAGATGCATCGTCTGATCCTCATTCAACCTTCGCCAAGCGAGACGGTCCCCGCTTCGCGAAAAACCCAGGCCACATCATCGGTGTCATCATACTGGCCCTCGGTGTTGTCCTCGTATGCTTCCTAGCAATCAAGTACTGTAGGGGTCTAATTCCCACGACCCATGATCCGGAAAAGGGTGATAGCCGCCGTCGCTATCCACATTATGAAAAAGAGGTCGTCCGTGGACGACGCCGCCGCCGTGACGGCTCACCTTCCACGACCCATTTTGCTGACATACCAATTTCGGAGGGATATGGCATGGATCCCGTCGATCTTGCTCGCGCACAGAACTGGCAAGACGGCTTCGACGAAAAAGGTGCGTACGCTACACGAGATCACGTAGATCGAAGGACATCCGCTGATAACTTCCAGTCAGTCGCAACGCATGGAACCGGTGATAATGCTGGATATCGACTGCAATTACCCAGCTTTATACCCACGCGCAGCTCGAATCCAAAGTCCCGTCCTGTGATCGAACTGCCGGCGCTCGCCCGTAATCCGGAGTACCCAGCCGGTCAGCCAGTTTCGCCGTTGAGTGCAAACGGCCCACCCCACGATTATAACCGCACGCGAGATTACAGCGACGTATCACCGCTACATTCGCCCACAATGCATCGCCAAAACATCAGGTAGATGTTGCGGTCGACAGCGAAGATGTGGTGTGGTTGTTGAAGATCAAACAGGTACAGCTGTCAGACGCGTTTCCAGCTAGTGGAGTTTAGAGTTTCGCATAGGTATCCTGCAATTTTGCTTTTTTTAATTCCGAGACTCGTTACTTGATACAGTGAGATTGGTTCTGCGCCGGCAACATCGTTGGTTTTCGGCGGTTATTTTGGGTGGGTTTCACTTCTTTCATTTGCTGGGGGCTGTGCTGGTGTGGTTTAACTATCGTGAAGGTCCCGTCCCCACCTGCCATTCTTACCTACCCATTCGATCTTTACCTGCACACTCATTCAACAACCACACACTCACTCGTTCGATCGCAACTCTCCAATACAAATAACGTACATACAGTCTTTTCTCTGTTCATCGCACATCATGCCTGTACTCAAGTTCTCACACCGCGCCGAACCCATCAACGCCGAACAGCGCATGATTGGGCCCATTCCTTTGCCATGGTTCATTCCCATGTGTGTCTTTGCGCCTTTCTTCCTCTCGTTCATATGCTGGGTATTCTATCAACAAACGGTGACGCGATACAAGAACAAGAAGCTTCTGGCAGCGCAACAGGAGCAAGAGCGCTTAGCTGCTAAAGAGGTGGAGACGCAGATGCAGCAGTTCATTGGGTCGAGCGTGAACAACGCGAATATGCGCGCGCCACCAAGAGCATTGAGGCATCCTGCATACAGATGATTGTGATATGGAAGGATTCAACACGAGTGTCATGGAGATGGTCGCAGGATGACAGGCATGATCATGTGCCGTTCATTCGTTTCGGCTCGCAGAGACCAGCAGTAAGTAGTCCACAGTATTACCACAATTCGCAACATTGTCAACTTACGACATTCTACCAGAACACTCTAGACAGCTATTGTGAAAGCATCATGTCTAACGATCATTCACACCACATCGCCACTCATTCTACAAAAGATCTTCCATATCTCATCACAAGCTTCCATCACCAAGCTCCATCTCCATCACATTTTACGATAGTCTCGAAGCCGGACTTCCAACACACATCCCGAATTCAACAAATCAACAAAACACCATGGCCCCATTAAACGTCCCCAGCGCCATCGCGCCACTAGCCACCTCCACCTACTCCATCCCCGCTATGCCGCTTGTCACTCAGCTCTCCGCGCTGGCGACCATCGTCACCCCGACGACGCCCTACACACCCATGGCCTCTCCATCCTCCATCTCCGACATTCTCCACGAGATCTCCAAGGCGGACACCGCTGCTCAGCCCACCTCAACTCTTGACCTCAAAGTCAAGTCCAGCAGCTCTGGCGCTGAAGGCGGTTTGTCAACTATAGCTGTAGTCGGCATTATCGGCGGTATTCTTGTGGGCATGCTCATCTTGGGGTTCATTGTTGTGAAAATGTGCCATCATTAAGTGCGGATGATGGTGGGTTAGTTGTTTCACATAGGGAAGAACAAGGATATGAAGGTTGATGTGATGGGTGTCTTCTTGGATGTTAGATGATGGGATAGGTCTATCTAATTAGATGTTTGAAGATAAGAAGACGTTTTCATGCCTTTGCCATTCCCTGCTCTCGTGCTGTTTTTGTGTTAAGTGTGTCGCGTTTGTGAAGACTAAGAATTGTGTAGTGTCTCTCCTGGCGGCACGCAGAATGAGCGTACCTCACGCTTGCTGCTCATGTACCCCAGGGGCTACCTTCCCCGCCGCTGTCTCCTAGGCGTTTCTTCAGCTGCGCTCCAACCTTCCATTTCGATATCCAGATCGTCCAGCTCGGCTGCTAGGTCTTGTCGCGTCTTCTTCACCTTTCTGACTGGTTGATCGCCGGGAGCGTCGGAGTCAGATAGGAAGCTGTCTCTTCTTCGTTTTGTGTTGCGACTAACGGAACGAATAGGTCGCTCTTTCTGGTGATGTTTCTGGCTAGATGAAGGAGACGACGTTGAAGATGCTAAGTAAGGTGAGTAAACGAGCGTGAATGTGAAGCTTGGTAACTTACTGCTATCCTCGTCATCCGAATCCACGATGAAGCGTCGCTTTCGTTGCGAGATTGGTGACTTGGAACTACTCGTACGTATTGAGGTCTTGCGCTCGAACGTGTTACCCCTTGGGAGACCACGTTCTTTTGCCAGTGCGTTCCTATATGCGTTCGTTAGATACTGTGTCTAGTCATTCTCACGCGTTTGGCTTACTGCACAGCATGTTCCACCATCTCGTATTCTACCTCCGGGCTGGGCTCTCCATCACTCAGATCTACGATCGCTGGTATACGAATCCCTCCAGCTTTTCGATTAATCAGGTCGAGTTGTGCCGCTGCAACCCGGAAAGCGGTATTGCATGGGCGGCACCGTTGCTTTGGAAGACGTTTTGGCTTCGTGAACGAGAATTGAGGGCAGTCGACAGCCATGAGGAGAGATTGAGGCGAGAAGGATGATGAAATGAAAGACGGAGATGTGATGAATGGGAAGGATGATACACTGTCAATCTCACTTGGAAAGCCGAGGTGACCGAGAGCGCGCTGCAAAAGGTGAGAGAACATGGCACTTATCTATGTTGTTTGCGCTGAAGCTAATTTTGCTGTTTGTTGTCTTACCTGTGAGACTTCAATGTCTCAGCGCCCGTTTGAATGGTGGCAGCAAGAGCGAGCAGGCATTGAAAGGAGTAACCGCAGGACAAGGCGCTCATGCAACAAAGCATGATCGAATATCACGTATCTACTAGATGGCTGCAATGCTCTAAAATTTGTACGACGATGCGCGGGAGCTTGCATGCATTGACTGAATGATGTAGCAACCCGAAATCGATCTGTCATTTCTCCCACATACACCAAACGCCGGGTATTGATATCGCTCGATCCACATGTCGCTAAATACAATCCAACCACTCTTTACATCTTTCAAACTCTAGCCCTTTTCCTCATCAGTCTGGCGGTGTATGCAAAGCGCGGCTGCATGTCTATATCCAGATCTAATGGGTCCTCGCTGTCAAACATCTCAACGTCTCTGTCTGCACGTCTACTGCGTACCTCAACACCGAGAAACTCATCAGAGCCATTAGAGATATCAGAATTGAGATCGTAATGAACAGTATTATCGGGGACGACGAACTCGCGGTCGCTGCTGGTCTCTCTGGCGTGCGTAGGGTTCATTGAAGACGACTTCGTTCGTTTGGCGCTCGTATTTGAGCAGTGTTTTGCACTTGAATTTGCGCTCTTGGAAGGCTTTGCATGATGGTGTAGACTCTTTGACTTTGTAGCTTTGCTTTTCGGCTTGGAATGTGGTCTCGATGCGATTGTAGCGGCTGACTCAGGCTGAGGTTCATCGTCGTCCCACTCAAAAGCGGGATCGTTGGGGTCTATCTTGACCATGACCTCTTCGCCGTCTGCATCCAAGCCTGGTTGATGCCGTGCCGGCGGTGCTTCACTCATCCTGATGGCTTGTTTCTTCGCCAACGGTAGATCGCCTTCGCTGTCCATGATGAGGTGATAGAGATCCACAATGGGTAGCGCGGGTGCTACAGCCATTAGCTGAGTGACCTTACTTCTCAGACCGAAGTCGTCGATATCCATAAGACTCATGTTGATAGTCCCAGGCTTGCTCTCTTTCCGGCTTTCATTGAGTGCGTGAGGTTGGCGTGTGCGTCGCGTGGCAGGCTTACGGATCGGTGCTGCTTCTCCACCGCCATCAGAATCTCGTTGTAGTGTTTCTTGGGGTACAGCATGCGATCCATCCTTTGCGGGCCCGCTAGATGTTGGCGAGGAGCGTCGTAGGACGAAGCCTATGGGTGCATGCAACGTATTCGGTAATGCGCGCGGGCTCTCACTCGTGCCATCGTAGCGGAAACCTCGTAGGTTGGGCTCGGCGAGTGAGACATGCGTTCGACGAGGGTCAAAACTACCGATGTTAGCGTAGAACAGGCGTATTGTGAGCGCGATTTGTCTTGACTTACCGCTGGGGAGTGCTTGTCGGCGCGTCATCATCGCTATCGAGCGTGATTGGCAAGTCCTGGGATGCGCCCACTCGGAATCCGGGACTAAACTTGGAGCCAGCTTTGGGGAGCTTGCGCACCGAAATTTGAGGTTTTCGCCTCGCTCGACCGCGTCTCTCTTTGCCTGTTGCTGGACCCATATTGATTTTCTTGATGTTGCGCTGGAACCCCATATTATCCTCCTTCTGACGAGGGTAATTAGGCTTACTTTGTCGAATGGTTTGACGGGGGTTGGGCGTACGGCCGAGAGAGGGCAGAGACTGGTGCGGATCAAACGGATTGAGCCTCGAAATCTCCAGCAGCGTTGCAGTGCGGTATTGCGGCAGTCCACATCGCACTGGCGTATCTTTCCTCCCTCTCAAGATATCCTGATACTGGCTGCTAAGACCATAAGGCAACAATATAGGAAAACAGGTATCCATGGCAAAAAGTGATTCGAAATGGCAAGAGTGAGTCGGGTATATTGGAGGTGAAGGAGAGGTCTAGCGAACGGTCCGGGACCGGAGGCAGATTGGTCAAGCAGGCGGTATCCTTGCGCAAAGAAGTGAAAGAGGAGAGACGATTGCCATCGTGTGCCGGGCGCTGAGAGGAAGCTTGTTGGTGGGGTAGGCCTACGACGAGGAAGGCACAACCTGATCAGCCATGCGGACGACAGCTTTCAACCGCTGATGTGTGGCCGTCGCGGTAAGAGATCCAGCAGTAGTCTCTGCCCTATAGCTTGCATCGAAAATCTTGCAATTATGGCATCTCCAATGACATCCGCAATGTGCACACCCAAGGTCATTGTCAACGCTGTTGTCGCCGTGGCACTCACAACACTGCCATCGCCAACACGGACGAGCGTCTGCCATCGTCACGCTTGATCGAGGTGCGGGTTCAAATAATGAAGGAAGATGAGACACAAGACACGATAGTAAACAATACCTCACATGTTATCGAGCTGAAGATCCGGTGAGGAGCCCCGCCATGCCACCTGCCACCCATTGGACGCAGCGCAACTTTGCGCGCTCATGCTTCTCAGTATGATACCAGTCACGAAATTAAGCTTAATGGCAGAGAGCAAGGCAATACAGAAGAATGCAACAAGAACAGAACCCCAGCATGGAAGTGCGTGGTACGACCGTGAGACGCTAAATGACGATGCAGCGCATATCCAAGAGAAACCCCGCCCATCGGATGGAGACTTAACTCATGGGTAGGATGGGCTTAGCTGGATTGACTGTAACACTGCAGACAGTCTTTCGGGGCATGACCCCATATGTAGTATCAAGGTAAGCATATCAAGAGAGCTGAAGTGTCTGGCACTGATGATCGGTCGCGCCCAGAAGTGGTGGGCATGATGTGGGTGGGACGGGCGCTGAGTCAGCCCGGGAGCAAGCGCCGGCCTCGGCTCACACGAGGAAGCTACCGTACCGCGCGCCCCCAGGGCCGCGCCCGCTGATGTTCATAGCACTCCATCATCGCATCTCTTTGCGCATCAACCTTAACTCCATCACGCGTTTGATTTGTGCTATGTCATAGGGCGTACATACACCCCCAGTCTCAACAACCGTCAACAAGCGACGCCGTGGCAATAGGCTGTACCCACCGCGGAGACAATACGAGCAGCCACAATACTGCAGTCATGCTACACCATATATCCTGCAGCTATACCATGTCCAGCAGTACCACAAATGACGCGATCTTACCTAGACCGGTGATGGTATTTGGACCGGGATGATGAGACGGTACTCAGCAGCCAATCAAGCACGCGACGTGTGGTGAGGCACGGCTGAGATCTGGGGGCCAAAACGGAAATCCTGTTCTTAGGATTTCGGAGGTAATAGCTTTAATAGCGCCTCTGCGACAACAAAGTGGGCGCGTGCCCAGCCCAAAGTCTACGGTATACTTACTCCGAAGTTGACCTCGATCTTTTGCAGAAGAGACAAACACTCCCAGACTTAGCGACAGACCTGCTGGCCCCCGTGAGGCTATAGCTTCGCTGCTTCTAGAAACCCTCGAAGTATTCTTGTGGGCACTGAAACATGAGGTTTGGGCGTGGGCGGGATAGTCCTGAACCTACAGATCCGGTCTTCGACGAGGACCAAGATCTCAGCGAAGTCTGGCCACAGGTCGTGCGGCAGTATGAGGACACCACCAAGAAAAAGCTAGATAGTACTACTACCTTCAAGAGCTTCCAGCTGCAGATTGATGCAGACATCAAAGAGTCAACGACGAAAAGCCACCAACATGCTCGAACTGTTCTCAACAATGTCGGTACCTGTCTCGAGAAGTTTGGGAGCATTGTCGCACAAGGGGCAAGTGTAATCTTCGGACCAACTGCTCAATGCTGGAATGCGATAAGCTTCGTGATTCAAGCAGCACGCGGCATCAACGATATGATGGACGGGTTCGTCACTCTAATGGAACGCTCATCCGCCTTCTTGCGACGT